TCGGGGAGTGGTTGGGACCAATGATCCCTCTAAGCTGTGGAGTCTTGTGAGCAAAAAATCTACTTTGTGACCTACTAACATTAAAGTTGTGAGTGAGTGATTTGGCTACTGCATAAATTAGTTTGCTTTGGAGCCATCTTTCCTGAGCTAAGACAAAAATGTGTGAGCCAGAGGCTAAAAGACAGAGGCTAGCTCACACTAACTCAGCTTAGAGGGAACACTGTTTGGGACTCTGGACAGCCCTAGCTGGAGGGCACAGTGGATGGGAGGTTGGGACCTTGGGGTGCTGTTACAGATGCAACGGGGCAGTGTCCCAGTATTTCACACTCTGCAAGAGCCTGCAGCAACACTGAATCTGGCTGCTTGTGAAACCACTCCATTTCGAAACCCTGATCTTTGAGGTGCATCCAGAGGTGCCAGTGGGGGGGGTCCTGGCCGGGTGGTGGGTTGCCCCAGGACTGGCCTTCCCCCTGTTGCCCTGGCTGCTGCCTCACTGGGTAGGGAGGAGTGGGGTTGCTAGGAGGTAACAGAGGGTATAGTAAGTTTTGGCTGGGCTGAGGTGGCAAAGGTGCTTGCTGGTAGCCCTATGGAATGTTATGGGGTGCCTGACGGTATGGAGGACAGCCTGGCTGTGGCCCTGAGGGGTGTGTGGATGAATATCTGCCCGTGTGAGGTGGTGGTGGGGCAGAGGGTTGTAGCTCCACCTGCCTTGATAGTCCTTTCCATATTTCCCTCAGTTAGAGCCTCCTTTCTGCCCCCTTGGCCCAGCCTCCCCTTTTTCCTTCATACTTATTTCCATATCCCCCTGAAGCAGGGTATTGGGAGTGGGTGCCATGATTGGTGTATGTTATGGCTTGAATCCTTGTCCTTGTATTTCTTGTTAAGTTTGTGAGGTTTAATGGCACCTGTGCTCTGTAGAAGGTAGGATATCCTCCAAATGCGGCATTCTAGGTGCTGCCAGGGTGTATTAGCAGGCTCTTGGATATTCAGGGCCAGTTGAGTCTGAGCATGAAGTCCCTCTACTATATCCTCCTTGAATCCTCTGTCGTAATAGTTAGGGGTCAGTGTGGCTCGGTCGACTATCATTCGGCTAGCCAGTACTCCTAATAACAATTTCCTGGCTAAGTATGCCCTGGGGTCATGCCCCAGTCCTTGTCTTTCGAGCATAAAGAATATCTCAGCATTTCTGCTGGGCCAAAGGTATGACAGAATTTCCTTCATCCACTTATATTTGTTAAAACTGTTGAGATTTTTGCTGGCGGCTTCAGAATTAACTGCAGCCAAGTCCAGTCCTGAGGCGCAATGCCTGGTTAGCACTGTCAGGTTGTAGACACCTGCATAAGGCCCCTCATTGCCAAGATACCTGAGCAAGCAGACTGCTAGGCCGAGAAGCCTGATTCAAGCTGAAAATAAAAGGCAAGCCTCGGATAGATTTTTTTCCTTTTCTTGCAAAATCAACTTCCTGTTGTTTGCTCATTAACACTGGAAAGTTACAGGTTTGTGCAATCAGAACAGCTGGTCTCAGCTGTTCGCTGAGGACAGGAAGCAGGGAGGGGGGTGAGTGAGTTTAGTTCTGCGGAGAGGCTTATATCAGACAGAATAAAATCCTTTTTCATTTAAAGGTCATATACATTTACACGTAGTCCGTAACAAGTTTATAATATACGCACATCATATACAAACCATGTACAACCGATTATAGGAATAGAACTTATGGGTGGAGATCTTATGGGAGATGTGGGACTTTCCAGGATAGGGTTGTTCCTAGATATGAGCTAAATTACTGGAAGGCCAAATTAGGCCAGTTTGCACAATGCCTTACATAAGACATATACCAAGGTCATGGTGACCCAGAAGAGGCAATAATGAGGGGGAAGTTATCAACATTGGGAAGCCCCGGTCATTAAGATGAACAAAACTCAGCTGTTTTCAACTGATTAAAGAAACAATCTAAATGTCAAACACTTCTTATTAGTCAACACTGATCAACAGAGGATGAGTAAACAGAATTGGAAAAAAGGATATAAGGTAGTGTAGTTGGTATCATGGGGGCGGTCCAGAGAAGGCAGACAACCCTTGTCCCAAGCTCCGGTCTCCAAAGAAACAGAAGCAGCTCTGCCTGGGATCAACATCAGTGGTGAGAAATCATGTCTCGACTCTTAGAGTCAAGTTGTAATAGGCAAAGATTATCAAAGCTGCATAATTAATGCTATGTTTAAAATAAAACCCTTTAAAATTACAGAATCTTGTCTGGTCTTCCTTCTGTTAAGAGGCAAGGTCCGTTATACATGCAGAGAAATATGCAAACAAGATCCTGTTAGCACAAGCGAGTAGTTTGGGCCAAAAGATAGACGGCTAACAGATTGGTGGAGAACGGTGGCAGCTATTTACTCTGCATAACGGGAGCTTTACTTTTGACAAATAGGAAATTCCAGACCTAGCAAAGTTGTTTTAAATAGAGCAGCTTAAAAATGGGAAATAAATCTAGTGCACTGTCAGAGAGATTAGCGAAACGATTTAAAATAACAAAAAACTCACAGCTAGACAAGAAACATGAGGAAGTAACAGACCCTTTGCAAAATTGAGTAGAGTCCAAAGGGACCGTTGGTTTAGTACAAGGAGATATGTTTCAAGGCAGTGATCCAGCAGAAAAAGCCAGCACGATTTTTAAGCAAATCAAAGAAATAACCAAAAATAGAACTCAGGTGGAAAAAGCCGGGCGATGGACATTGTGGCTGCTTGCCAAGAAACAGAAAACTATGTTAGATGAGTGCAAATTTAAGATCCAGGACTTAGAATCCCAGATTGATAAACTAAGAGAGAAGGAGAATTTAAGAAAGACCCAATATTTGGACAGTGTTGCACAGAATTTACAGAACTCATCTGCGTTACACCAATTAATGGAAGAGGCTGGTTCTTGGCGAGATCAGGCGCATGATGCACAGAATAGATTGACACTTCTGGAAACCCAGCTGGCAGATGCCCAATCGGCTGTCAGGGCTGTCACACAACTTTCTCAAAAGGAAGTTGATAGCAGACAGGACCATTCCCAATGCCAGAATAAAATCCAGAAACTCAAAGAGGCTCTAAGTGTCAAGAAAAAAGTGGTAGCCGCATTTGCAGGGGTTAGGCCACATAATGGGTTAGATATAAATGCAGAATGTGATCCAGATCTGGCAGATTGTCAAGATGACATATGGGAAAATTTCTTTGCAGGCCGTACAAAGGCTGCATTACAAGATTGTGAAGCAGAGAAGGAAAAAGATCAGGGTTGCCCTGTTGTTCCTGTAATCAGGAAATCAATTCAGATGGATAGAAATGTGAGAGGCCACGTTACAACAGATACAATTGAGGAAACTGTCCCAATAAAGTTTGCGGATTTGCAAGTCCTTGCTCAAAAATTAGGGAAGCTGAATTCTGATGTTTGAAGTGTCCAGACAGACAGATTTATATGAGGATGATTTGAAACGATTGGCACATCAATGTTCAACCCCGGACACTTGGGCAACCATTCAGCAATATTTGAGAGATGCCCCAGCAGGCATAGGCGGATTCTGGGCCGGGTGCATGCAAGCCCTAATGCCCTACAGGAGCTTATCTAAAGCCTTCTATGCGGAAGAACAGAAAGCTGATGAGTCCCCAGAAATCTATGTAAAACAGAAGGAATTGCTGGGGGTCGCATCAGGGGTAGTACATATGATTTGGGGAGTCCCTGATTACGATACTATAGAGTTTAAAAGAGAACTTGTGGCGGGTCTGAATGTTGCATGCAAGATTATGATGGGACCTATCACAGTGGGGCCTCTGACTTATCCCCAACTCCAAGCAAGGATCCGCCAAGCAGGACAATTATTTAGGGAAAGCTTTAAAAGCCAGCCAAAAACAGGAAGCAAGGAGAAAAAGAAGGTGTAATACAGAATGTGACTTTTTCTAACAATGGTCCTTGGAGCAGAAATGCTCCTCCAGATGTAAGGCCACGTGCTTCCAGGACCAATCAATCCTGGAATAACAACAGGACATACCCCTCTGGGAATGGCTACAATAGGCCAGCGGGAGGAAATGGACCCAATAACAGGGGTGGACCCTATAATAAAAGTCAGGGCACCACGACAGGGAACAGAAGCCCTTCAAACAGGCCAAACAGGAGAGAATACTCTGAGGGATTTAGGCAAGGCATTTGGGAAAAGTTAATGGACCTAGGTGAGCCCCAAGAAAGATGGGACGGAAGAGCGACCTCTGACCTTATTAAAGGCCTAGAAGATATTCTGAGACAGCAGGAACAGGATGCGCGGCCAGTGGCACGTGCCAGAACGCCTGACAACCAGGGATGCACACAAGAGTGTGCAACTGGGGGAGTTAGGTGGGATGCCCCTGGAATAAATTTTTCTGGGTAGGGGTCCCCCTCCCAGGCATTCCCCAGAAAAATTGTAGATTTAGATTATGATACTTGGGGAAGGCCAATGGTCAAGGCAAACCTGGGAAAAGGGGATAAAGAGCCTGTACTTTTAATAGATTCAGGAGCTTCCGTGAATGTTCTAAGTCCAGAATGGGTGCCTAAAGGCTATAAGCCAACAGAGGCGGCTGAAGAAATTCAGCTGGTCGGGTTCGAGGGGTCAGATGCCTCGGTGAAAGTAATGAATTTTTGCCCCATCCAGGTTGGGATGTTGGCAACCGAGATACAGTTCTATGTGTCTGATCAGAACAAAGAGTCAGGAATTATAGGCAGCCCATTTCTGAAGGAACATCAGCTAGTGATTGATTTGTCAAACGACTGCCTTTGGCAGATGCCCACTGAAAGAAACCTCATTCTTCCTATATACTCAATGCAGAAAAAACATGCTTTGAGGAAATCTGATGAGGTTAAGCCTCAGGGAAAGGAAGAATGGATTAAAGAATTTTCTTTGATTGGAATCAAGAATAGGAATGAGTGTGGGAAAATAGATGCAGAAGTTCTTATCACAGGGCCTGACCCTAAACCCCAAAAGCAGTATAAATAACCCATGGAAGCAGAAAATGCAATTGCAGAAATAATTGACTCCTTAGTGGCACAAGATGTGCTGGTACAGATGGAGAGTATTACCAACGCCCCCATCTGGCCTGTCAAAAAGAAGGATGGCACTTACCGTTTGGTAATTGATTTCCGCTTCCTTAACGAGGCGACGCCATGTACGGCGAATATTGTAGTGAGCTATCCAGAAGTCATTGCCGCTATAGCAGAGGGAGCTAAATGGTTCACTGTGATTGATATCGCGAATTGCTTCCACTCTATTTCCCCCACGTCTGCCTGTCTGAAAAACATGCATGTCGACTCACATGGATTCAAACATGCAGGGTGATGCCCGCATTCTCCATAACTCTGTTAGCCAAATTGCCATAAATTACTAATAACTTTGGGGAATTATGATATTATTAAAATGCAACAGGCAAATATGAAAGCGATCACCTGTGTATACAGGGGTCCCACTTACTGCAGAAGTACCAGAAATAGACATGGAGACCAACTTCAAATGAAATGGTTTCTTTACTGATGAGATTTCACAAGCATATATTCAAGCACACTCACAATTACACAGATCTAAGAAAATTAGATAGAAAAGGATAGCGACATTCGCATGAGCAGGATGTTTCATTGAGGGGTAATATTTATGTGTCCTCAGTGTGATGAAGCAATCCACAGGAAGAATAAGGGAGACTATAGGGAATAGGGATTGTATTCTGAACCAGCAGAACACATGGAGACACTGGCTGTGCAAACCAGGAGTCGTGGAGGTAGGGTGGGCCTAGAGGTAAGGAGAGAGAGCAGCCTGCTGGTTTGGCTCTTTTACAAGGGGGCTTGAGGGTGGGCTGCTGACCACCTCTCTTGGCACATCCCTTTCTGGTCCATCCCCAAAACATGCTAGCTGAAACTGGTTTGGGGAGGGGGCTAAGGGATTGGACAATATTGAGTTCTAATTACTCTGGGCAGTGGCACCTGGTAGGGTTATGACTCATGCAGCCAAAGTCATTGTATGTATCAGTCCCTCAATTAATGTAGGCAACGCTGGATGGGGGAGAAGGCCGCTTGAATGGTGATGGAGAGTCTTGCTCATGGAGTCCCTGTCCAGGTACTCAGGTCATGGCATGGCATTCACTTTTACTGGCATCTGTGTGCTCTTTGTAGTCAGGGTGCTTGATTCATCTCTGCTACCTTGCAGGTGAGTTGGCAGGTAACCCATGGATCCATCCTTGATCTGGCACATTGTCTCAGGAAGACGTTTCCCTCACCTGGGTGCTGTTTACCGTCCAGGCTGTTGGCATCAGCTCATGGTCACCATACAGTACAGTTCCTTTTGCAGCCTAATTGCACAGTCCAGTTTTATCACTTATGAACTATGAGTCCATAAGAGCGTAATAAGTGCCTTGCAGGGCTACTTGACACGGAAATGCCACTTGCACTAGAGCTCTTCCACAAATGGAAATGCATGAAAAAGACTTTGGTATCCACTTACAGTAAATCAACTTTATCATCTCCCCATTTGTGTTTCTACATGCACAAGATTTTTTGCAACTTGTTTCTGGGCATTATAAAATATAGGGGGGAAAGCACTATGTATTGCAAGATCTCGAGTAAGTAGAACGGCACTAATTCTGTTTCCACTTGGATATCCCTGGTGCCAGCCTTCTATAATTCAGTATAGTCTTTTGACTCTGCAAACAAGTGTCTTGGATTAATAAAGTCCTTTTGGGAGCCCTTTGGTGCAAATCCAGTTTTCCACACCTCACCTAAAGTAAGTTAGGTTGATAAAGAAAAAATTGGCATGAAGGGTGAGTTGTAGCACAATGAGGCTGGTTTGACTGGACCTGAATTCTACAGGAGGCTGTATGTAATACAGGAGGTCATCTTCTTCCTCTACTACTCCATCTCCCCCTATCCTCAGTGCCTATCTCTGGAGCTCTGCCCGCTTGCCTCCCTTCCATCCTCCGTTTGTTCCTTGCCTAGCTTCCCCCTCCCATTGTCAGTGCAGTGCTTGCTTGTCTCCCCTCCTTGTTGGAGGTCTGCCCTCTTGCTCCCCATCATCAGTTTGCTGCCTCCCCCCCCCCCCCTCTCGAGACCGTGTGTGCGTCGGATCAGTTTTTGCTTGGTTCTGGTTCCCCCCATCATCAGTGCTTCCCCATCCCCTGTCAGCTTGCTGCTTACCTGCCCACTCCCCCCCCATTCTCACAACCAAGGAGCTGAGGAAAGAGGAAGAGGCCTCAAAGACAGGGCAGGCCGAACAGGGAGTAATCTCCATGGTTGGTATTGCTCCTCTTCTGATGGCATGGTAGGCAGTTTTTTCTCTTCCTTGCCACACCACCATTTATCTTGCCCTCACCATCGCTGCACCTTTGTTGCCTGTGCTTGCGAGCTGTGGTGGGCGCTGCCTACAAGGGCAGCACTGGCAGGAAGGGAAGAGTTTTCAGATTTTTCTGCAAACCTAGCGGTCACCCAGGTTTCCTGAAAAACTCATTTGGGGTAAGTATGCCCCTATTTGTAGAAATAAGTATCTGCACATAGGAGACTGTTGGGAATTAGTTATATAGATAATAGTCAGAGATGATCCCAAAGATTCAACACATATAGGTTCAAGTACAGAAGGGAACATGATTGCTCTCTTATATTCCCTGCATGGCCCAAACCAGTGGTGCCCTGTTTTTGTTTTCCTGGTCAGGTCTATCATTATATAGGTGATTCCCCTAATAATTAATGGTTTATTTGAGAAATCAACAGGTAAATCACATGGATTCCCACTTTTGGGAAGGGTGGGCTATAAATACGAATGAATGGATGAATGGATGGATGGATGGTTACTCAGTCAATAAAACTATGGAATCACCAGAAGATGCATTCATTCCTGTGTATAAGAATAAATGCTTCTCCTATGATGGTCCTGGCTATCTGCAGTTTTTATAATTGCCTGTATTTTAAAAAAAATAGACTGGATTCAAAGTACCACAAGAAGAGCTCCCTCCCTCCCTCTGCAGGCAACACAGCACCTCAAACACTTTGTATCTCAGCCAGTTCAATTATGTGATCTGCTTGCAAGAGAAGTTCCCAGAGGAGATCGCCCCAGAGCATAAAGCATGTCAACTGGGTCTGGTGAACAAACAGGACTCAGAATCAATATAGTTCCCTTCTGTATGAATGTGTCTAAGAAACCACCACTGCAGCTGATGACTCAGTAACAGAGGGGGCTGACTGTGTGTGAACATCAGAGTCTCCAGTAAGTACAAAGTTATCTCCTTTGAAAGCTTTAGTTAGTATTTTGAAGAAGCCTACTAAGTGAATTTCTAGGGGTTACTACTAATATCAACTAAGCCATTTGAATGGGCAGGATTATTTTTTAGGTTTGTTGCATTCCAATGACAATAACAGAATACCAAAGTTTTACATTCTAAGGCTGCATCAGATTTAGTTTGAGAGTTTTAAGCAGATGCTAATATCTGCCCTAGGAATCAGTGAGACTTCACAGCACAAGAAAAAGTGCTAGATGCTATCATTAGGATTCATCTAGTACTTCTGGGTACAAGAAAATAATCTTAGGTCACTCGATTTACTTGTACTGAATTTGGGGGCAGGTTGGGGGGGGGTAATCAGAGATACCACCTGTTTTTTTGAGACAGTTATCTGCACCAAAAGGAAGAAGTAAGCACCATAGAACAGTCCACTCTTGTATTTAAGTATGTATATATGCATGGACGGATGGATGGATGTCCCCATTGATCTCAGCAGGGGTTATATATGTGCATATGCTGTGTATTCCTGTTTGTCATTTTGTGGTTTATGTGTAGTTCACAGACGGCTTCTTATTCAGGATCCTCCACCGGCAGAATTCAGGCCATTGTTTGGTCTTTGCATTAGACAGAACAAAATAGCAGCATTATGATTCAGCCAACATTTTCATTCATACTCACTTAATTCTCCTTACTGTACTCTCATCACACATGGCTTTTGTCCATGCAGCTCCAGTGATGTCTAGCATAGCCTTTTCTTGGATGGTGGTCAAAGGTTCCTTGCGTTCTCAATAGCAAGGAAGAAGGTTGGGTCATGCCCTATGTATTATCTCATGATTCATGTCTCCTTAATTCTTAGATTTACGTTTATTTCCTTTTATTTTCCAGGATGTTGACAAAGAAAGAAAATATTATACAGAATAGCACAGCACTGACTGAATTCATCCTTCTTGGTCTTTCTGATGAGCCCAATTTGCAAAGCATATTGTTTTCTACTTTTCTGGTGGTCTACATCATCATCCTGGCAGGAAATCTCATCATTATTCTCCTCACGTTCATTGATCCTGCACTACAAACACCCATGTATTTCTTCCTGAGAAACCTGTCCTTCCTGGAGATCTGTTACACATCCGTCAATGTCCCCAAGATGCTTGAGAATCTTCTGTCTGGGAACAAGTCTATCTCCTTCCTAGGATGTGCTGTACAGAGATATTTTGCATTCTTTCTTGGTGGGTCTGAGTGTTTCCTCCTGGCTTCAATGGCCTATGATCGCTATGTTGCCATTTGTAAGCCTCTTCACTACCCTGTCCTCATGAACAGGAAAGTGTGCATGGGTCTAGCGGTGGCATCTTGGTTAAGCAGCTTTTTAATGTCCTTCAGTCACACCATTATGGTGTTCACCAT